GCGCTTTAACTCACATTAATTCATTTCTTCCTTCTAGTTGACGCTGAAGATCGGGAGGAACATCTACAGGAGGCGTCACTCACCACAGCCCCTCTCTCCTGCAGGTGCACAAGAGGCCAAGTTGGTAAGTAAACAAACAATTAATTACCGTAGAACCCAACACCTCCCCCTGCTGAACTCCCATTATGGTAGCCAAGTCGTTTACCCCAGTTCATTTGCGTTAGGTTAAGTTAGGAAGTGATTAGAGTTAGGGTGTCTAATCTTCAGGTCCTTACATAACGTTATCAAATGCCTTAACACCAGAGGCAGATCAACCCACACACACACACGCACACACACACACGCACACACACACACACACACACACGCACACACACACACACACACACACACACACACACACACGCCACAACATGTCATATCTGGTGACAATGATGAACAGTTATCATTTTGTCGTAAGTTGAGAGTGTGTGTTTGTGTTGAGTCACCTCAGACACTTGTGAGGTGATTAGACACAAAGTCAAAGCATTGTTGCTCATCCCGCGCTATACTGTGTCTCTGTTGTTAATAGAGTGTAGCTACCTGGGGCATCACACAAGGAAGATAGCGTTACTTATATGACAGATCAGCTGACTGACGCCATCTTTTGTTGTTGACATAGGACAGATCAGCTGACGGACGCCATCTTTTGTTGTTGACATAGGACAGATCAGCTGACGGACGCCATCTTTTGTTGTTGACATACAGGACATCTTTGTTGTTGATCAGCTGACGGACGCCATCTTTTGTTGTTGACATAGGACAGATCAGCTGGCGGACGCCATCTTTTGTTGTTGACATAGGACAGATCGTTGCTGACGGACACCATCTTTTGTTGTTGACATAGGACAGATCAGCTGACGGACGCCATCTTTTGTTGTTGACATAGGACAGATCAGCTGACGGACGCCATCTTTTGTTGTGACCAGCTGACGGACGCCATCTTTTTGTTGGGACAGACGAATCAGCTGACGGACGCCATCTTTGTTGTTGACAAGGACAGATCAGCTGACGGACGCCATCTTTTGTTGTTGACATAGGACTGATCAGCTGACGGACGCCATCTTTTGTTGTTGACAGGACAGATAAGCTGACGGACGCCATCTTTTGTTGTTGACATAGGACAGATCAGCTGACGGACGCCATCTTTTGTTGTTTACATAGGACTGATCAGCTGACGGACGCCATCTTTTGTTGTTGACAGGACAGATCAGCTGACGGACGCCACTGTATTATTGTCGTGTAAATATTGTGATATGTCGTTGTCGCTATAATGTTATTGATGGGGTTCAATAAATATCTTTAAGCGTGTTATAAGGTAAGTAATTACACTCGTTCAGCAACAATGTGAGGTACAAGTGTGTGTTGTTAACCTCACGCCTCTCATAATAATTGTTACGTTATACTCTCCTCCCGCAGTCCTGAAATAATACAGTCGCGGGCAACACTTAACAACGGCCAATAGAGTTAAGTATTTTCTTCAATAGTTCCCCCGTAAGACGTCATTAGCGTGGGATGCATACCGAGAACTGCACACTACCCGCTACTAAAGTTAGCATCATGGTGAAGTAGTTTACTTAAAGTTTACGGTGCTAAAAACACCCGTGAGAGTCACAGCTTCAAAAAATTTATCATGACCAATCACAGCGTTGCTAACAAACCGTTTTTTTTTTCACTCCGTAAACATTTTGATCTGGACCAATCACATCGCCGCTAGCAAATCGTGTTAGACACACTGTAAACATAGCAGCCTGTACTGTACTGAGGATAACCTGGTATCTGAACACAACATACAAGAACTCGACCAACCAGACTGGACACGAGACAGTCAAACAAACCCCAGTCCTTTGGGGCCCAACCTCACCTGGTCTGACCTACAAATTAGACGTGCTTCAATTCCAATGGGCCCCAGCCATAAGGAGTTCCAATCCTAATGTTCTACAGTCCTAAACTACCTTAGTTGTAGTGATTTATGACGTTACATTAGGTCGTGATTCAGTAGGGCTGTGACCTATTACTGTAGGTCTTGTGTCCATTTGACCGACGACCCATCCCGAACACCAAGTCTCAACAGAGCATCCAACAGTGACCACCTCAAGATGACCCCCCCCAACCCCCCACGCTACCTGTGTGTGTGTGTGAGAGATGTTCAAGTAAGGAAATAAGCGCTAATTGCAATTTGCCATCATAGGAAGTGAGAAGATATGTGGCCGATGAAGACATATGACAGCTCTCCCAGGTATGGTCATAAGGTCCTGAATCAATCACT